ACGGGGGAGGGTCCGCGGCCCCGGGGGAGGGTCCGCGTCCACGGGGGAGGGTCCGCTTCAACCAGGGAGGGTCCGCGTCCACCCGGGAGGGTCCGCGTCCACGGGGGAGGGTCCGCGTCCACGGGGGAGGGTCCGCTTCAACCAGGGAGGGTCCGCGTCCACCCGGGAGGGGCCGCGTCCACGGGGGAGGGTCCGCGTCCACGGGGGAGGGTCCGCGTCCACCCGGGGAGGGTCCGCATCCATGGGGGAGGGTCCGCGTCCACGGGAGAGGGTCCGCGTCCACGGGGGAGGGTCCGCGTCCACCGGGGAGGGTCCGCGTCCACCCGGGGAGGGTCCGCGTCCACGGGGGAGGGTCCGCGTTCCTGTGCGAGCAGGAGGGTGGTTGGCTAAGCCAGGGCGCGACACGCACGATTTCACTAACTCCGCGTATCCTCCATACAGAACCTTCTCCCCGCAGAGGGGGCTCTGGGACCCCTGCCCGCGAGTACGGGGCCTCTGTCGCCCCCGGCCGCCCGGGGGGGGGGTCCCGCTGGGGACAGGGACCCTGGCGACAGTGACAGGGGCCACGGCGCAGACGCGGCCCCCGCCAGGCCCCGAAAGCCCGCGGAGCCCCCAGGCCCGGCTGATGGGGGCGGGGCGCGCGTCGGGTTCCGGACGCCACGGCGCCCCGCCCCCCGCGCGCCCACTGAGCGACGCCAGGAGGGGGGGGGGGCCGAAGGGGAAGGGGGCGGGGGCCCCCGAGGCCACGCCCCACGCGGCCCAATCCACCAATCGGACGCCGAGGGGGCGGGCACGCCTGCATTTCCCGGGGGCCCCGAGGCCCCGCCCCCTCGCGCGGCCTCGTTCCAGGCGGCGTGGGGGCGTGGCCCGGGCGCGGCGCCTATAAAGGCGGGCGGCGGCGGCGGCGCCATTTTGCGAACGGCGAGCAGCGGCGGCGGCGCGGAGAAGCGCAGCGGAGGTTTTCTGGTTTCGGACCCCAGCGGCCGGATGGTGAAATCCTCCCTGCAGCGGATCCTCAACAGCCACTGCTTCGCCAGAGAGAAGGAAGGGGATAAACCCAGCGCCACCGTCCACGCCGCCCGCGCCATGCCGCTCCTCAGCCTGCACAGCCGCGGAGGCCGCAGCAGCGAGAGGTGAGCGCCCCGCCCCCGCCCGAAGCTTCCAGAAGGGCCGCCGCGCAGGCCCGCGGGGAGCCGGCCGCGGAGGTGCCGGGGCGGGCGGCCACGGTCCGGCGGCGCCTCGGGGGCCCGGCGGGGGGGCCGAGGCCGAGTCGGGTCGGGGGCCGGGGGTCGGCCGCGGGCCCGGAGGGAGCGGCGCCCCGAGACCCCCGAGGACGCGCGGAGCCCGGGGCGCCACGTAGGCGGCGGCGGGGCCTTCCTGGGGGGCCGCCCCCCCCCCCCCCGCGGGCTCCGGGCCCCGCGCTCCCCGACGACGCGCGCCTGCGGCAGGTGCCCGGGTCCCGGCGGGCGGGGACGCCCCGCGGACGCCGCGCTGGGCCCGGAGACGACGGGCCGGCCTGGGGGGGCCCCGGCGCGAGCCGTGCAAAATGGAGGCGGCTTCGGGGCCTGTTTACACTGCGCAGCAAATGGCTGCTGGCGCTGCCGGGCGCGCCGATTGTGAAAACCTCCCTCGGGGCCGCGGCTGCCGCGATGACGCAACCCCGAGGCCGCGGGGAGGGCGCGGGAGGGGCGCCGCAGGCGAGGGAGGCCGCGGGGCCGGGGCCGCTGCCCCCCGAGCGGGCGCCGGGCTGCGGGGGGAGAAGGGGAAGTCCGCGCGGGCGGAGTGGGAAACGGGAAGTGGCTGCGAGCACCGGAGGGGTCGGCGCGGGGGTGAGGGCGGGGGGCAGGGCGGCGCTGGCCGGGGCCCTGACAGGCGGAAGCGGCGGGGTCCCCCGTGTAAACAGCCGCCCGTGGTGGTGGGGGGGCGGGGGGCTCCGGGGGCGCCTCTCCGGGCTGAGCGCCCCGTTTCTCGCAGTTCCAGGGTGTCTCCTCACTGCTGTAGTAACCTGGGTCCAGGGCCTCGGTGGTGCTCCTGATGTCCCTCACCCACCCCTGAAGATCCCAGGTGGGCGAGGGAATAGTCAGAGGGATCACAATCTTTCAGCTAATTTATTTTACTCTGTAAGTAACCCCCGTTTCTGGCTGGGGTGGGGGTGGGGGGGTCGGGGCATGCACCCGTGTGCACCTGCCTTTCAGCCCCAGGGCTTTAACTCCACTGCAGGGTGGGGGGTGCCCGCCGAGGTCTGGACGTGGCGGGAGCCCCTGCCCGAGCCCCCTTCCCGCGTCCAGACAGCAGTGTGCTGGGTGTGGGGATGGGGGGTTCTCTCATTCCTTTTCTGGGTTTTGCAAAAGTGTTGGCTGTGGGGAGACTTGGCAGGTGTCTGGGGTGCGGATAGAGCGCTCTCCTCCTGCAGGATAATCGGCTGAATGTAACAGAGGAACTAACGTCTAACAGCAAGACGAGGATTCTGAACGTCCAGACCAGGCTCACGGGCTCCAAACACATTAACTGGAGAGCGGTGCTGAGCGGCGGCTGCCTCTACATCGAGATCCCAGGCGGCGCCCTGCCCGAGGGCAGCAAGGACAGGTGAGGGCGGGGCTGGGCTGCCCGCCTGGTTGCGGGGTGTGGGGGGGTTTCTTTCTGCACACTGAGCAGCGGTTCCTGGGGGACTCTGACCCTGGTCGCGGGGGCGCTGTGTGCTCCCTGGGAATGAGGCCGCGGGTCCCTGGCGGGCAGGTGGGGCTGACTGTGGCCCTTCAGCTTCGCAGTTCTTCTCGAGTTCGCGGAGGAGCAGCTGCACGCCGCCCACGTCTTCATTTGCTTTCATAAGAACCGCGATGACAGAGGTAGGGGCTGCAGAGGGGAGGGCTGGACCCTGGGTGGTGGAGCCTTGGGGTGCGGGGGGGGGGGCACAGGGCTCGGCCACAGGTGCCAGGCAGGCGCAGAGCCCAGGGTCCCGGGGGCCCCGCGGCTGCTCTAACTGCCTTTTCTCCACAGCCGCCTTGCTCCGGACCTTCAGCTTTTTGGGCTTTGAGATTGTGAGACCGGGGCATCCCCTTGTCCCCAAGAGACCCGACGCTTGCTTCATGGCCTACACGTTTGAGAGAGAGTCTTCGGGAGAGGAGGAGTAGTGGCAGTGCCGCCTGCGGCCCTTGTGCTCTGCCGCCGCCGGAGCCCTGGACCGCGGTCCCTTTGCCTGTTGTGCTTTGTGCGGGTGGCGGACCGACGGCTGCGCTGGGGGCGCCAACCGCAGGCCTGCTCATCTCTGCTGGGTTTGTCCGCATGTTGTAATTGTGCAAATAAACGCTCACTCCAAATTAGCGGTATATTTCTTGAAGTTTAATATTGTGTTTGTGATACTGAAGTATTTGCTTTAATTCTAAATAAAAGTTTATATTTTACTTTTTTATTGCTGGTTTAAGATGATTCCGATTGTCCCTGTATTTGGAGGAGGAGTTTCTTATTTGAAGGCTCTTGGAAATCTTAGGTCTCTTACCTTGAAAAGATAGGTGTTAATCTACCCTTCTAGTGCTCTGAAAACTGAATAAAAGTGATGACACCTCCAAGACTGTGTTGGCTCAGTGGTGTTCCCCCGGCCCCCCCACCCCACCCCGGGGGGCTGCAGAGCTTGGGGGTGGGGGGGATGTCCTGAGCTTCCTGACCCCCTCACTTATCACTTCTCCTGACCCTGCCTCATTTTCCCAGCGGTCCTTGGTCCTTTCCAGGGGTGGGGGGTGGAGCGTGGCTCTGGGTGTCAGGCTGCCCCACCCGAACCTGGGCCTCCTGCTCCCCTGCTCTGGCGTCTTTTTGGTGCCCTTATCTGGGACGCCAGCCATGGCTGCTGGCAGAGTTCCCTCTGCTTGCCCTGGGCTGCGACCTGTGCCCCAGGCCTGCTGCCTGGGACTTGTGTGGGGTGTCTGGTCCTGCGCCCCCCGCTTTAGCACCTGTGTAGGCCCCGTGTGCACAGCGGCCCCTGGGGAGGGCCTTGTGGGGCGGTGCTGGGACAGGAGCTCCAGCAGGGGCCACAACTGGAGGGTGGGCGGAGGAGGGGTCCTCCGGTGGGCTGGGGTCAGGCCCCCCCCCCAAGGCTACGTTGGGCAGGGCCGCAGCGCCACCTGCTGGCCACATCTGGGCGCATGGCCAGAGGTTCACACCCAGGCCTGGGCTGGGTGGGGGTGGGAAAGGGCATCTTCTATGGGGCAGGAAAAGAACCCATAGGGATTGGGGAGTATCGGGCTGGGGCGCGATGTTGCCTGAGGACGGGGCCGGCCTTCAAAGTCCGAAGACGCAGAGCTGCACAACCCTCCAGCCTGGGGGGAGTCAAGGCTGGACAAAGGGCTTTGGAGTTGGGGTATTGAGGGATGACTAGGAGTGTGAAGCCCACGAGGAGAGGGGAGGGTGCTCCTCTGCAGGCCAGGAAGCTCCAAGGGTGGGCAGTGTGGCCGGCAGGGTTGGCCGGGGCTTGGGGAACCTGGGGAGGAGCCCACTGTATCCTGGGTCCTAAGGAGCCAGGGGGGGACGTTTGAGCAGCCCAGGAACCTGTCATACCTGCGGGCTAACCGTGACGGGGGCGGGGAAGTGAGGGCCGTGACTGGAGGCCCTAGGCAGGCGCAGTGGGACCCTTCAGGGGTCGTGTGTTCCTCAGCGGTGTAAACGAGGCCCTGTTCTGTCCCTCTGGTTCCCCCGTGCGTCGTCCTTGCCGGTTTATGCCGCCGTCCCGTGTGCACGTCGACACCTGCTGTGGGTTCAGCCTGGCTTCCCCCCTCGGGAACCCACAGCCTGGAGGGGAGGTGGTCAGGTGGCCGCCCCCAGGTGCCGACAGGTGCTGGGGGCGGGGGCGGGCGCGGGCGACAGGAGGCGGAGCCACGGGGCCCAGGAGCGGCAACTTTATTTGCTTGGACAGAAGAGCCACGCGAAGGCCTGGCGGCTGCACAGAACCAACTTTCACAGAAGGGCAGCGAGGAGGCCGCGGAGGGTGGAGCGCGGGGAAGCGAGGCCACGCTCGGGCGTCTCAGGTCCTAGGAGCGTCCCCTCCCCCAGGGACCCCAAGCAGGTCCTGACAAGGACGCGCTCAGAATGACCGGCACCCTCAGCACAAGGGGTGCTCCGGGGCCAGACACGGAGGCCGCGTCCACCTTCTCGGGAGGACGGTGCGCACCAGAGTCCAGCGCGGCCAGCGCAGCCTCACGCCTGCTGGAAGGTCCTGGCATCGGAAAGCCTCGGGACACGCCGGGCCCCGCTCTCCTGGGGAGGCCTTGGGCCTAAGTCCCTGGTGTAGAAGCAGGAGTGGGGGCGCTGGAGAGGAGGTGCCCTCCTTCCGGCCCCGTCTGGAAGAGGCTGTCCGCTCGCTCAGGGAGGCCCTGTCCGTCGGGGTGTCAGTCCCACAGCAGCGCCAGGGCGCGGCCCACGGAGGCCTCGGTGGCCTCAGCCAGGTACTCACAGCACAGCCAGTCCTCCAGGCCCGGCGCCTCCCCGGCCGAGGCCCGCTCCGCCAGGTGCAGCACGAGCAGCGCGCGGCGCACCTGCAGCCACGGCCCCAGCGGGGCTCCCTGGCGGTGCAGCTCGGGCCCGGGCCCCCAGAGCAGCGCCTGCAGCGCACCCCGCGCCTGGGCGGCCGAGGGCCGGGAGCGGCCCAGCCGCGCCGCCAGAGCCTCCAGGCCCGCAGCCAAGGGGGAGGCGCAGGGCTCCGCGGGGCCGAGTAGGGCGCGGAGCAGGCGGCCCAGCTGCAGCGCGTGGGCGCCCGGGGGGCCCGGGGGCCGAGGGCGGACGCGGCCAAAGTCGGCCAGCAGCAGGCGCGGGGGCCCGGCGGCCGCACAGCCCCGGGGCGCCACCAGCAGCAGGTTCTCGGGCCGCAGCTCGGCCAGGGCGGCGCCCCGCGCCTCCAGGTGCTCCAGGGCTGACGTCAGCTGCAGCAGCAGCACGGCCACCACCCAGGGGAACTCCTCGGGCCGCTGCCGCCTGCCCGCCTCCGCCAGCCATTGCGTCACCGTGAGCTCGGGCACCTCGGCCGCCAGCACCACCGGGCCTCTCCAGGGCACGTCGGGCAGCGCGCCCTCGGGCACCGGGCCGCACAGGCCCTGCAGGTTGAAGTGCGGGGCGAGCGAGGCCTGCAGCTGCAGGCCCCAGGGGTGGGGCTCCTCCGCTCCGGGCTTGGACACCTGAGGGGCAAAGGGGGGCCATCAGGGCCTGACCGCGGGGAGCCCGCCCAGCGCTACCCGCCCCCGCGGCGCTTCCGGAGCCCAGTGGCCGCGTGGCCTCCAGGAGTTAGATGTTCATTCGGATGCCTGTCGCCGTGTCGCCGCGATTTCAAGGAAAGCCGCGCTGAGGAGCACAGTGTTCGGGGGTCAAAATGCTGCCCGCCAGAGGCGCCAGGGACAGGGCAGCTCAGGTGCCACGGCCGGCCTGTCCAGTAGGATTACGACTCAGGCCACCGTGTAATTAAACATTTCCAGTAGCCACATGTGGAAATTGATAAGAAGTGTGAACATGATTTTCTTTTTTTTTTTTAAGATTTTATTTATTTATTCATGAGAGACACAGAGAGAGAGAGAGAGAGGCAGAGACACAGGCAGAGGGAGAAGCAGGCTCCCTGCAGGGAGCCGATGTGGGATTTGATCCCGGGTCTCCAGGATTGCGCCCTGAGCCGAAGGCAGGCGCCAAACCGCTGAGCCACCCAGGGATCCCTACTTTTTTTTTTTTTAACATAATTTTCATACTCTGTTTTATTTGACCCCATATACCTAATAGGTTACCATGCAACGGTTGTGGGCGTAGATAAAAGCTATCCCTGAGATGTTTTACATTAGGGTTATTTTTTGACACTAATAGATTAGTCTTCGAGACCCAGGAATAGTTGATGGTGAGGGCACATCTCAGTTGGAACCAGCCCCATATCGAGTGCTCAGAAGTGACCCGGCCAGCGACTGCCCTTCTGGACAGTGAAGCTCCTTCTAGAAGGTCAGGGGAGCATCAGCTCTGGAAATTACATTACAACCACCTGGGGGACGCTGTTTTTAAAAATACACCCCCAGGGCCTTCCCAGCTGGAGCCAGGATCCAACTGTCTCCGAAACGCACAGCCAGCAACAAGGGTCTCCCTCCGAGCTCCAGGTGTAAAAACGGGCCCCTATTCGCACATGTTGTCAAATGGGTGAGGATCCTCCAAAATGCTGATGCGTCTGACGCGGGGTGCTAGGTTTAGTACGAATCTTTTCTTTTCCTCCCCTGAATGGCACATAAAAATGGAAGGATCTGGGGCGCCTGGGTGGCTCAGAACCTCTGCCTTCGGCTCAGGGCGTGATCCCGGGGTCCTGGGATCGAGTCCCACGTCGGGCTCCCTGCATGGAGCCTGCTTCTCTCTGCCTGTGTCTCTGCCTCTCTCTTTCTCTCTCTCTTTCATGAATAAATAAAAATAAAATATTTTTTAAAAAATGGTAGGATGTTATGACAAATATGGTGATAGTTGCACTGTAAAGTCAGTGTGGCGATTGGGTGGGTAAAGGCGCCTTGAAGTCAGCGGGGCTCAGGGCGCCCAGATGACATGTGGACGGTCGCAGGGTAGTTAAGTGGTGGCGGTCAGCTGGCTGCGGCGGGTGAGCTCGGGGGCCGCCTGGCGCCGCCACGGTTCACTGCAGAACGAGTTAAAGTGCAGATTCCTGGGCTCCTGGGAGGCGTGGGGGGTTGGGACGCGCAGGCGCTTCGCGTGTCCACGGCCCCACGCTTCAGGCACGTGGTTCCGGGGCCGAGCGTGTTAGTTGGCGTTAGTTGCAGAGTAAGCGGGTCGGCCAAGCTGCACCGCCCCGTTAGCCCCAAGCTGGGAAACTGGGGAGGCGCCCAAGGAGGCGGGCGGTGGCGGGGCTCACCTTGGCGGCCAGCATGTGCCACGCCTCGTCGCCCACCCGCACCATGCGGTAGTAGAGGGCGTCCCCGCTCTCCACGCAGGGCGAGCGGTCCAGGAGCCGGAAGCCGTGGCCGGGTTGGCAGGGGCCCGGGTGGCCCCCCAGCAGCCGGGCCCGGAGCCGAGCCCGCACCGCGCGGACCCCCTCCAGCTGCCGCGCCTCCAGCATGGTGCGCATGGCCTCGGGCCGGTGCAGGTCGTACCAGGGGGCGCCCAGCGAGGTGTCCAGGGAGCCAAAGCGCGGCTCTGCAGGGGGACAGGCTGACCAAGCTTTGTCACTGGCCGCCTGGCTCTCGTCCACACTGTGGGACCCCAGGAAAGGCCTCCGAGGCTGCCCAGCCGGAGCCGGGGCAGGGCTGGCGCTGGGGACCCTGTGCGTGGGCAGGGAGCGGGTCCTGCACAGCGTCTTCTTGGGCAGGGGCGGGGGCAGGGGCTGCGGGTCGGTCGGGGGGGGCCCAGGTGCCCGGGGGCGGCAGGCCTTGGAGGGCAGCAGCTGGGCGCGGACCTCACCTGCAGGGAGGAGCACGGAAGAGGGTGAGGACCCGAGCGTGGCCCTGGGCACCCGTCTCCACCCCTCGGCCGGGACTGCCCGGTCTGCCGAGTGAAGAGAATGCTAGTGGCCCGCGCCCCGCGGGCTACGGAGGCCGCCCCCAATTCACAGGGGAGGGGGCAGGAGCGATGCATCAGAAGCCGAGAAGTGTCCGGCCCACGCCCGGCAACCCCGGGTCCCTGCGTGGCGCTGGCCACCTGACCGCACCTCTGTGAACTCCGGCTTCCTCATTTTTTACACGCCATCATCCCAGCTTTTTTCCCCTTTTTAGCAGCGTTTTATGAAAGGTGGGGAACCGGCCGCTAGAAGGGAGCTCAGCTGCCCTCAGGCAGAGGGTCCCCCGCCCCGCCGGCCCGCGTCCCCCAGCCGGGCCCCGGGGGCTCACCGAGGTTGCTGTAGGTGGGCTGAGTCGGCCAGGTGGGGGCGTCAGGCCCGGGGGTCCCAGTCGGTGGCTCAGGGCTGCTCATGCTGGCCGGGGTGGCGAGCGGGGCGGGGACCTAGGTGCGAGTGGGGGGCAGTCTCCGTCTCCTTCCCACCCTTGACCTGCTGGAGGTCCTGGGTCGGCCCGCCGCCCTCTCTGGGCTCCCTTCCTGGCGGGGGAGGCAGGGAAGTCACCCCTCAATCTTTCAGGAAGGACCCTGTGCTTTTGTGACGTGGACAGAACAGAATGTCGAGGGTGAGGGTGGACCATGGGGGGTGGGGAGGCAGGACGGCACCCAGGGACCCGCACAGGGGCACCTCCTTCCCAGAGCTCAGCAGCTGGGACCCCCACCCTGCCCCGCCCGCCCTCCAGGTGCTGCCTCTGGCCACTCCCGGCCCCAGCACCCCCCGGGGGCCCTACCTGCAGGACTGGAGTGACCAGGGTGGGGGGTCCTCCGGGGAGCTGCCGCCCGGGGCCTGCCAGGCTGACCTGTGGCCCGCGGCCGCCCGGAAGCACTGTGCAACCGTCAGACCGCAGGGAGGGGGGTGCTCGCTGCATCACTTCCCCCCGCCTGCCCGCAGAGGACGCCTCCCTCGAAGATGGGAAGGGAATTCCAGGCAGAGGGCTCGCCGCCCGCCGTGGCCCTTGAGCTGGGGGACAGGGGGCTGTGACACGGGGACGGTCCCAGAGGTCACACCCGGGGGGTCAGGGGGGAGACTCCGCATGCTGGGCTCCCCCCCGGGGCCAGGGCAGGGAGCCCCGGGCACGCTGGGCAGCGAGACCACCACCAGGGCGCCTCTTTCCTGCGTGGCTTTCGTGGCTTTCCTTCCCCCTCTGCGGGGGGCGGAGATCGGAGAAGCCCCGGAGCCCGCTGCCCGCCGCCCGCCGCCCGCTGCCCTCGCCGCCCCCCACCCACCGGGGCCTCCTGCGCCCTGGGACGGTTGGTAGATGACGATTGCCACACGTGGAAAAGCAAGGACCCTGCACATCCAGGGGCCCCGACGCCTGCGCTCCAGCTGTGTCTGGGCTGGAGGCTCGCCGGGCCGGGCTGAGGGTGTGAGGGGTGCCCCAGCTCCGAAGGGAGAAGCAGGAGCCCCCCGTGTGCGCGGCCGCAGCGGCATGTTTGCATCGCAGCTGGGGCATGTTTGGGGCTGGATTTCCCTCCCTGCGCCCCCTCTTTCCCTTTGGGGCACTGAGCCCAGAGAGGGTAGGGAATCCATGCGGGGTCACACAGCCGGCCCAGGCGTGGTGACAGGTCCTGGGGCTGGTCCGGGGCGGTGCGTGCCCACCAGGCCCTGGGCAGGGGGAAGCAGGTTAAGCCACTTTGTGAACGTCTCCCACACCCCCCGCCCCTGCCCTCCGGCCACATTTTGGGCAAAACTGACCTGCTGACCCCGTGGCATTTCCAGCATGCGGTTCCCTAACTTGATCCCGTATCTTCTGTTTTCGGGTGCTCAGCTCCCAGAAAGGATAGAATTGACGCTCTCCGGCCTTAATCGGCGGGGCGCCCCGTGACTGGGTGGCTTTGGAACCACGCGACGGGAGGCAGGGTGCGGGTTCCCAGAGGAGGGACGGATTCCACAAACTCCGGGCCCCAGGCAGGGTGGCAGGTGCCGGGGACACGGCCTCCTCGACGCCCACACGTCTGCTGGCTCTTCCCGTCGTGAGGCCCTTGGGGCTGCCCAGCCAGCTCCTGGCTCTGCCCGCGGTTCGGGGAGACGCATGCAGGGCAGGCACCCGGCTCGGAATGGAAGGCGAGGCCAGAACACCCCACTCTGTGATCAAGGTAAAGGGCCTTTTCGCGTGATCTTTAGGGAACCTTGTTGGCTAACCGCGGCCACCGGCCGCCCGGCTCTTTTTATAAATGAAGTTTTATTAGAACCGGGGCCGGGCAGGGTCATGGCAGGGCAGATCCTATTTTTTATTTAAAAAATGGATGTTGGGCAGCCTGGGTGGCTCAGCGGTTTAGCGCCGCCTTCAGTCCAGGGCGTGATCCTGCAGTCCTGGGATCGAATCCCGCGTCGGGCTCCCGTCACAGAGCCTGCCTCTCCCTCTGCCTGTGTCTCTGCCTCTCTCTCTCTGTCTCTCATAAATAAATAAATAAATAAAATCTTTAAAAAAAGAAAAAAATAAAAGATGGATGTTTTGTTCATTGTGGATCTGGGACGTGAATTAATTTTGTTTATGGAACGTTGATCTGGATGGCTGAGCTCCGGGCATCCGCTCAGATTTTGTGCCTGCGGTGAGGGCCTCACTGCCCCCCGCCCCCCCAGCCTGGTCCCAGCCGGGCTGTGGTGGCCACCTGGCCAAGCGGGGAGTGGGGTGGGGTCCAGGCTGGGACCGGGGTGACACCTCCAGGGACTTCTGCACTCGGGATGGGGCAGGGTGGTGGGCGGGTGGCACGTGGGGAGCCCCCACCTGCCTCGGGGTGGCCTGGCCCCAGATGCTCCCAGGGGCCTCTGCGGGAGGGGAGAGCAGAGTGCACAGCTCACACCCGCTGGGCACCCTGCTGAGGCTCAGGAAGGGGAACGCCTCTCCGCGTGGACCGTGCATCAACGTGGGAGTCGCCCTGGGGCCCCAGGGGGTGGGCACCAGTCCCGCTGACCCACTGTAGACTTTTGAGCTCCAGAACTGTCAACTAGTAAATCTCAGTTGTTTTATTTTTTTTTATTTTTTAAATTTATTTATTTATTTATTTACGATAGTCATACAGAGAGGGGGGGGGGGCAGAGACAGAGGCAGAGGGAGAAGCAGGCTCCATGCACCGGGAGCCCGACGTGGGATTCGATCCCGAGTCTCCAGGATCGTGCCCTGGGCCAAAGGCAGGCGCCAAACCGCTGCGCCACTCAGGGATCCCAATCTCAGTTGTTTTAAACCATTAAGTTTCGTTACCGGAGTCACGGTGTGCGGCCCGGGGTCTCCCTGGAGGCGCGGAAACCTGGTCTGTGCCGCGGAGGAGCGTGGTGCGCGGCCACAGCTGGAGGACGCTGCACACCACTCCCGCTCCATCCCGCAGGGGACATCGAGGCAGGGATCTTCAGCGGCCACCCCACCTCCACCTCCGGGCCTGGGTGTGCCGACCAGACCCGTGTCCTATGTTTCAGGGGGGACCCCATGGACACCCTCTGAGCAGCACCTCCTTGGTTTGGGTCCTTGGTTTGGATGAAGGACCCCTCAGCCCCACCCCAAGCACGAGAGACGGGATTCAGGAAATCCTGGGCCTTGTACCTGGTTTGAACCAGGGAAGGCTCCTCCTGGCTTTGTTGTGGGAGGACCAGGGCTGGGGAAGCTCCCAGGATGGCGTAGAGATTATGCAAATAAGTAAATAAATCTAAAAAAAAAAAAAAAGCTGCCTTTGAGCCCCCAGAAGCAGGGAGACTGCTGGGACCCCCCACCCGCCACCTGGAGTGGGGTGGGGAAGGACAGCTGGGAGACCCCACCTCCCCTCGGCTGGGGACTCTGGGCACATGCCCTCCATCTCCTGACCCCCCGCTTTGCCCATCTGTAAAGTGAGATCCTAAGAGGCCCAGCGCTCAGGCTGTCACCTGTGGGGAAGGAGTTAACGCAGGAGCCGGGAACGGCACTTGGAACAGCACGGGCGCTCCCGACATGCCGCCTGTCAGGCCATCACCGCAAGTCCTTCTGTCCCCACCTGCCCCCTGCCCCTGGTGACTCAGGGCCAGTGCTCGGGCTGGAGCCAGACGGCCCCCTGCCCCCCCAGCCCCACTCCTCCCGTGAGAATTAACAACAACCACTTGAAGTCTGTTATTAAATCGGCTTCATTTTTATTGGATTCCAACCAAATACAGCAGGAGGGGCCTGGGGGGGTCCTGGTTCATGTTGGGATGGGGGTGGGCGGAGGGGGTGGGAGATCCCAATATGCTGCCGTTCTGCAGGTCCCAACGCTGCTGAGAACATGCTCCTCCCGTCGCTGATGATGCTAAAGGCACTTGGATGTCATTTTGAGGGGCCCTTGGGGTTGTCATGGCAACCAAGGTCAGGAGGATGTGAAGGGAGAAAACCAGTCGGTTCTGCCCAACTCGGGTGGAGTCTGGGGTCCCCGGACGCCCCGTTCGGCCGTCGCCACGTCCTGCCACAAGTGGGGCCGAGGCAGGGGCCGAGGCAGGGGTGGCGGCTGCACGCTGTGGGAGCAGGACCAGCCGCGCGGCCCCGAGAACTTCCGCCTGAAGCCTGTGCTCCGAGCCCCCGGGGCCGACCCGGCTTCCTCTCTGGCTCGTCTTGCAAAGACCTTGAAGGATCCAGGATCCAAGTCCACCACCAAGCCCGTCCATGGGCCTGGGCTCCGTATGTGCAGCAGTGGCTTTGACCTGGGGCCTGTTTGACAGAGGAGGATGCCAGGGGGGTCTGGGGGGTCTCCGGCCCCGGCTAAGTGCACACCTGGGCGGGGAACAGACCTGGTTTCCTGGCTTCCTACAGGTCCTTAAGAATACAGTCCTAGGGGCAGCCCGGGTGGCTCAGCGGTTTAGCGCCGCCTTCAGCCCAGGGCATGATCCTGGAGACCCGGGATCGAGTCCCACGTCGGGCTCCCTGCACGGAGCCTGCTTCTCCCTCCTCCTGTGTCTCTGCCCCTCTCTCTCTCTCTCTGGTCTCTCATATATAAATAAATAAAATCTTAAAAAAAAATACAGTCCTAACCTCCTGGTGGATGGCCCACCCCCTACTAGTCAAGGGCTCCCACCCACACTATTTCCTGTGCCCCTTCCTCCAGCGATGGCCGGTCATCTGGCCCAAGTGGAGGGTGGGGGGCAGTCATCAGCCTGGGAGAGGCAGGGTCATGGATGGACTCTGTCTGGTGTCTGAGGATTTCTGTAAAACGTCAGCTCTGGTTGCTTACCCCTAATGATGGGGGAACTCACTACCTGAAGGGTAACAGGGCAGTGACCTCAGGGAAGTTCTTTCTTAACCCGAGCTTCTGTGTGCCCAGCCCTAGTTCTTGCCACCTTCTCCCCAGAGCCCAGGTCCAGACCCCCTGCAGCCTGCACCCCACCCCAGTCTTGTTCTCCCTTGCTGCCCTGTTAGTGCACTGAACAGGACCCCCGGGAAACCCCCCACACTCCCTGGCCTCCGTCTCCACATGCACAGTGGGTCACAGGGCTGGGCACGGCAGGGCTGTACCGGGGCGCATCTGAGGCTGGCTCAGGGGTATGACTGAAGGTCACTCCACCTGCCTTGCTGGAGGGGGGACACCCCAGTAACCATGCTTCTGAGCCAGGGCCAGGGGGGCTGCCCCTCTGGTGTGGCGTGGGCAGAGGAAGGGAGTGGCAGCTGTTGGGGGTGGTGGGGAAGCGAGGGAGATGGCTTCTCCTAGTGGGCAGCCCGCCCTGCTGGGCCAGTGGGTCCCGGGGGGGGGCCTGGGGGTGGGACATGGGCTGGCACGCCGTGTGCTGGGCCCCCAGGGGGCATCACCTCCTTGGGAAGACCTCAGTCCAGCCCCTGAGATTCCCCCAGAGATGGCCAGTGGAGTAGGAGCTGGGCTTGAGCTCCGTGTGTCTCAGGTGTGATCTGTGCATGTCCCAGGTATGAGCTGTTTGTCCTCGGTGTGAGCTGTGCTCTCACGAGAGCCCTGGGTCCCCATGGTGAGCCCTGCAGCCTGGGGCACGTGTTTAGCGTCAGCTAGGTCTAAGCTGTGTGTGTCTCGAGTGTGACTGAATGTCCCGCGTGTGAGCTGCGTATGTCCCGGGTGTGAGCTGTGTGTTTCAGCTGTGGTCTGTGTGTCCCAGGTGTGAGCTGGGTGTGTCCTGAGTGTGAGTGGGTATGTCCCAGGTGTGGGTTGTGCTCTCACGAGAGCCCTGCACACTCCAGGTGAGGTCTGCAGCCTGGGGCACCTGTTTAGGGTCAGCCGGGTGGAGGTGTGTGTGTTCTGTTTTGGAGCTGTGTGTCCTGGGTGTGACCACCTGTGTGCTGATGTGAGGTGTGACCAGTGCAGGCTTTCACGTGCCTCCCCTGGGGGCTGGGCGGCCCCCTACGTCCTGGATGCAGACCTCTGTCCCCGGGTGCACGCTGTGTGTGTGTGTGTGCGGCACCCCCCAGCCACGGGGTGCGAACCCCCCACGGTGAGGGCTCTGGGGTCTCTGAACTCGCACCACACTCCCACCGCACTCAGCTCAGCGACCACAGCAGGGGCAGGAAGACACGGTGAAACCTTTAGAAAATGCTTGAGAAACTATGCAAAAGATGTGTCCTGATGGAAAAACAGCCCCGTGCTCGGGTCTCTACAAAAAAAGGGGACGTTCGGCCGGGAGCGGCGCGGCCTCCGGGAGACGCACAGGTGCCCATCGGCCGGCGGTGGTGGGCGCGGGGTCAGATCATCTTCATGGTGAACTTGCGGGCGCCCCCCTGGCCGGCGGCGGCGGCGGGCCCGTCCACCTTGCGGAAGGAGTACTCCACCGAGAAGTTGTTCTTGTGCTGCCCGCGGCCGCGGCTCCACACGAAGAGCAGCAGGAAGCAGAAGAGGACGACGCCCAGGAAGGTGATGCAGCCCATGGCGGTGGACACCAGGATGGTGGTGAGGTCCAGCGGGAAGCGCACGGCCGCCTGCGTCTCGTTGCGGCCCTCGCTCGGGGTCCGGTTGGCGGCCGGCTCGGGCCGCACGGTCAGCGTGGCGAAGTAGGTGTCGTTGCCGCCCGCGTTGCTGGCCACGCACGTGTAGGTGCCGCTGTCCTGCGGGCGCGCGCCCTGGATCTCCAGCGTGCCCCCGGGCAGCACCCGCGCGCGCCCCGCGCTGGAGGCGGTCACCGCGCGGTGCCGCGGCGTCACCCAGGCCACGGTGGGCGCCGGCTCGCCCTCGGCGCGGCACTGGAAGCGCACGTCGTCGCCCGCGGCCGCCGTGACGCGCTGCAGCCGCCGCTCGCGGATCTTGGGCTTGCGGCACACGAAGTACTCGAAGAGCACCGAGTCGGGCAGGTTGCGCAGCGCGTCGCCGCGGACCTCGGCCGGGGAGGCGCAGGCCGGCAGCCGCCCGTCGAAGTTGAGGGTCTTGCGGCGCTGCACGATCCACAGCAGGCGGCAGTCGCAGGCCAGCGGGTTCCCGTCCACGCGCAGCGTCTCCAGCGTGTTGACCGAGTGGAAGGTGTTCTCCTCCAGCGTGGACAGCAGGTTGTTGGAGAGGTTGAGCAGACGGATCTGCCGCAGCCCCAGGAAGGCCTGCGGCTCCACCACCGCCAGCAGGGCGCCCGCCAGGTGCAGCTCGCGCAGGCGCACCAGGTCTCGGAAGGAGCCGCGCGGCACCGTGCTGATGGGGTTGTGCGACAGGTTGAGGCAGGTGAGGTGGGCCTGGTGGCGGAGCGCGGCCGCGGGCACGGCCGTGATGTTGGTGTGTGTGACGGACAGCGAGGTCAGGTTGAGGCCCTGCAGGCTGCCCGCGGCCACCTCCTCCAGCAGCGGCCAGTTGTCGATCTCGAGGTGCAGCAGGCCCGGGAGCCTGCGGAAGTTCTGGTCCTCCAGGGCGGCGATGGCCAGGTGCCGCAGCCGCAGCGCGCCCAGGCCGCGCAGGTGGCCCAGGGACTCGCCCGACAGCGCCGTCAGGTTGCAGCGCTCCAGGGTCAGCTCCTCGAGCGCCAGCAGCCCCGCGAAGGCCCGGCGCGAGATGAACACCAGGTGGTTGTCGCCCACCTCCAGCCGGCGGAGGCTGCGCAGGTCCTGGAAGGTGTAGTCCAGGAGGATGACCAGCTTGTTCTCGCTCAGGTCCAGCAGCGTGAGGTTGTCCAGGCGCGTGAAGACCCCGGGCGGGATGAGCTTGAGCAGGTTCCCGCGCAGCCGCAGGACGCGCAGGCGCGGCAGGTTGGCGAAGGCGCCGGGCTCCACGTGCGCGATCACGTTCTCGCTCAGGTCCAGCTCCTCCAGCAGCGGCAGGGCGGCCAGGTCGCCGGGGTTCAGGCAGCGGATGCGGTTGCGGCTGAGCTCCAGCAGGCGCGTCTCGGCCGGGATGCCGTCGGGCACGGCGGTCAGTCGGCGCCGGGGACAGGCCACCGCGCGCGTCTGCGCCGTGCACTCGCAGCGGGCCGGGCAGCCGCCGGCGGGGGGTGGGGCCGCGGGCAGGAGCAGGAGCTGCAGGCTCAGGACGCACAGCCAGCAGGTCATGGTGCGGAGCCTGGGCCTAGGGCCGCGCCACCATCCTCGTGGGCACCTGCGGTGGGGGGGCAGCGTTAGCACCGGGGCCGCTTGGCAGTGCGCGCAGGACACATCTATCCCCCGAGGGCCCCCAGTCCCGCTCTGGGGCGCGTGCACCCTAGACCTGGACGCTCGCCCGCGCAAAGGCCTGGACACCCAGGTTCATCGCGGAGGCATGCCTAATGGCTGGAAGGTGGAAACTGCTCAAACGTGCATCCAACGGACACACACACGTCCACCATCCACGGGCACATCCCTTTGGCACCAAAGGGAAGTGCCCACACGCGTAGGACCCTGAGGCCACTACGGGCAGGGAGGGAACCAGACACAGGAGGCCCCACGTGTGTGGCACGTCCAGGATGGGCTCGTCCATGGACAGGAAGGGGCCCGTGGGGGCGCGGGGCTGGGCAGGCTAGTGGGTGTGACCGCTGATGGGGACAGGGCTTTTTTGGGTCTGAGAATGTTCTGGAACCATGCAGGGCTGATAGTTACACAACCCTGCGAATACACTAACAGCCCCTGAGATGTACACTTTAAAAGGGCAAATTCTGTTACGTGAACTGGATCTCACTTAAAAAAAACCGCCAGAGAGAGTGTTTATTGAACTGGAGGAGAACTTTACAAACACAGTGTACGATGTGGGGTCCAAGCCCTCCCAAACATGGATGAGGTGCCTCCTGTCGGCCCGGCTCTCAATACACAGGAGCGCAAGGCAGCCGTAGACCCTGCCCTCCTGCGGCTGGCTACATGCTACTGGTGGGGACAGGGCTGGTCCAAATATTCCCCTGGTCAGCCCCCCACCCCCCGCACCCTGCCCGGAGGCCTCACCGGGTCCCGCACCCATCTTGCCCTCCCTCCGTTCCCTGTTTGTGTGTCTGCACCAGGCCAACCACCACATGAGACTATGACCTAGCTCAGAGCCCTGGTCACGGTCTCCTCCCAGGGGCCATAACCTCTCCAAGCCAAGCCCGTGGTCTCCATGGCCTGACCGCCGCAGAGCCTGGAAGTCAGGGTGGAAGGAGGTGCAGCCGCAGACCGGGGACGGTGACGTTTGAGCAGAAGGTAAGGCCACGTGAACACAGAGGCCGGGACTGAGCTGACGTGTCTATAAGCCGGGGAACGCCGGGGGTTGTGCGGAGCCACCAAAAGCTGGGAGAGGTAGAGAGGATCCTCCCTGGAGCCTTCGGAGGGGACGTGGCCCTGCAGGGGCTGGTTTCAGACTTCTGGCGTCCACAGCGGGGAGAGAATCGATTTCTGTCACCTTAAGCCACTCGGTTTGTGGTGTTTTGTTGTGATGCTCACAGGAGGCCAAGTCCGTGACGTCTGGGGAAGGGAGCTCCGGGCTGGGGAACAGCAAAGGCTCTGAGGCAGGAGTGAGAGCCGGCCTCGGGGGTGGGTGGCCAGATGGCATGTGGCATGGACGGTCCTTGGGCCTACTGGCACCCTCCTCCCCCGCCTCCTTATTCCTCCCTCCACTGCTGGGCTGCAGCCCTGGCCCTGGGGATGCAGGTGGGGGTGCGGGTGCGGACGGTGCAGCCAGACAGCAGCCGGAGGGGGCCGCCCACTAGCCGGCCGGCTATTTCCAGCACCTTAGCAGCTGCAGCCCCCCAGCACCCGCCGGGGCCCACGAGCCCTGTTCCCGCGGGGACTCAGGCCATAGGCCCTCATCCGCTGAACATCCGTCCGGGACGCCATGGGGAAGGAGCACCCACGGGGCCCCGAGGGCCCGCTTGCTTAATGCCGGAGATGAATTATGTAACCAGGGGGTGGGGGGTGGGGGTGAATGCACTTTGCAGGACCCATCTGGTTCAGACAAGGTCGCAGGCGTCAGGTGGCCCTCACTGGGGCCACTCGCCGGTTGTTTTGACACAAAGGGGAGGCGTGGACGCAGAAGCACAGGGCAGGAGCCACGCGACGGCGGGTTGGAGGTGCTGCTGGGGGCTGCGGGGCAGCGAGGAGCAGCAGCAGCCACGGGGAGCCGGAGGACGTGAGGAAGGACCCGTCCCCAGAGACGTGAGGGGGAGCAGAGCCCTGCGGACCCTTGAACTTGGACTTCTGGCCGCCAGAACACGATGGAATACGTCCCCGTGTATTCAAGCCGCTGCCTCTGTGCGGCCCTGTGACGGCTTCAGTGAGCAGCCGTGTGTCCTCGGCACGAGCGCGTGCAGGGGGCACACGGGCAGGGACGGGCAGCCTGGCTGCGGGGTCATGGGGTCATCTGAAACCAGGAAAAACTGGCGCTAACCCGCCTACGTGTCCATCAGCAGGGGGTCGGCCGAATTCCGGGTCGCGTCCTGCTGCGGAGTCAAGGAGATGCGCGGGTGTCGGTAGAGGAAGACAGCGGAGGTCCGGTTATAAGGAGGGAAAACGGGACTAACCTAAGTGCTCATCAAGAGGGGATTAAAAAAAAAAACACGTAATCCCTGGTCGCTGTGGAACTCTAGGAGATTTGAATGCACCCCCAAGGAAAGACCACGGAGATGCAGTTAGATGGGGGTTAAAAAATAATAATAAAACAAAATAAGATAAATCCGGATTGCCAGACAGCTACAATCCTACTTATGGCAAAATAAAATGAAACGGAACACCAGACTGGACTCTAGATTGGGGCGGGCACATAAGTACGGGTGCAGGTGCCCACCCCCCCCCCACCACCCCACACATGCCTGGGAATTCACGTAGCACATGGAACAGCCCCGGGAGCGAGCGGTGGTCAGCTGGGGCACAGGACGGGGGCGGAGCTGTCCCTAATTCTGACCCGGGCATCGTGGGGACACCAGTCCTTCCCCAGAGGCAAACCTCCTTCCGAGGCTGTGTTTCTAGGTCACGCTCCCCGTGCTGCTGCCCTTGCCCAGCACACGGACAGGCTGTGTCCCAGGAGGGGACAGGAGGGCCGAGGTGGGTGGCCCCCTGCTCAGCCGCCCATCTCACGTGTCTGGAAACCTCCTGCCTTCAACGTGTCCCTGGACCTGAGGTTCGTCCCAGGTCCCTGGCCAGCCTGCGTGTTCCCTGTGGTCGAGGGGTAACCGTCCTCTCCCCACCCCAGGAACTGGGGTCAGGGCCTCGACAGCCAGATTCAGAGGGAGCTGGGGCCTCTCTGGCTTTGCTCCGAGTAGGGGGCGGACGGCATGGGCCAGCCCCCAAACCCAGGCTTCTTGTGGGGACAGAGCTGCTGGTCGGTTCTTTCTGTAGCAGAGAATTCCCCCCCTACTATATAATTAGGTCCCCAAGGCCCAGCACGACCTGCTCCGTCCCCTCCCTGCCCTCCCCCGCGCCCACTCTGTTCCAGACACCAGGCCTCCTGCCTGTTCCTCCCACGTGCTGGTCCCCCGGTCTTGCCCCAGGGCCTTTGCATGTGATGTTCCCTCTGCCCAGAACACCTTCCCCACATGACTCCCTCCCCGACTCCGAGTCTCGTCCCGTGTCACTTCCCTGGTGACTCTCTGTACTACAGTCCCCGTCCTGGTCTATTTCTCTCCATCTTTCTTTTATTTGTAAGTCATCTCTGCCCCCCAACGTGGGGCTCGTGGGCTCAAGCTCACACCCCCAGGATCAGGGGACACGGGCTCCACTGACTGAGCCCCCCAGGCGCCTCGGGGCTAAGCTGACGCGGTTTTGCGGAGTCCGCAGGACCTGCTTCCGCCACCTCGGAGAGCCTGTGGTGCTGCGTCCCCTCGCTCGCCGCTGCCGCCCTCCACCCGACACCCCGTCCCACCGCTGCCAGGCACTCCAGGAAAGGGGCGGGGGGGTCGAGGGGGCTCAGGGGCACCTGGGTGGGGGGCACAGCGTCTGCCAAGGCCGGTTCAGGCGCGGCGCTGCGGGCCCAGACAGGAACGTGGACTTTTTTAATTTTTTAAGCTGTGTTTACTTTGGAAAGAAATCTGACCAAACAGAAGCCACAGAACACGGGGGAGGACGAGCCCGGGGAGGAAGGACAAGAGGCCGGCCCATGGGGGCCCCGTACCGTGACGCAGTGACGCCGCAGCGGGGCTGGCAGGACGCTGGTCCGCAGCCTCCGGCCCTCGCCTGTCCCCGGACACCCGAGCCACAGTCACTCGGGGATGGCAGCATGGCTGGTCCCCCGCACCCCGCGGCCGCTCCCGCAGTGACCTGGTGTGTCCCCTCCGGAACCCTCCCCAGCGCCGCCCTGTCATCCCCTCCACAGGAGCCGGGGGCGCGGCGACAGATTCCTACCCTGTCTCTGCCCCTTCCCTGCTCCGGGGCCGTGGCCTTGGGGGGCGGTGACGCCCACCCTATGCTCCAAACCCTCCCTCCCTGCCTGGGCCGGGGGCGCTCTCCTCCGGCTCCCCGACTAAGTACCGGCAAATACCAGCTGATGAGCCTAGTTTTGTGTCTCGGGCAGCATGACCCCCCTGAGCTCCAGTCCTGGGGACCCTGCCGCATCCCCGGCCTCTCCTGGGGGGCCCCGGCCACGGGGAGCCGCCCCCGCTGCACCCCTCCTCCCGCACCCCCCACCCCATCACACCCGGAGCGCCCTTCTCCTCCGGAGACCTGACTGGCGCCGGGCCTCCACGGGTGCACGTTTCCCGTTTCAAGTTTCTTACTTCAGCGCCTTTTGGCTCATTCACAGTGTTATGCAACCATCACCTCTATCTGATTCCAGAACATTCCATGAGCCCAAAAAATAGTCCCGTCCCTATCAGCAGTCACTCCCCGTCCCCTTTGAGGCCCCCCCGAAGCCCCCTCCCCGTCCGTGGAGGAGCCCGTCCTGCACGTGTCACACACGTGGACTCGCACACCGTGGGGTCCCCTGTATCTGGTTCCCTCCCTGAGTGTCGCGTAGGGTGAGCGAAGGGACAAGAATCACGGAAATGAATACACCAAGTAGAGGGTTGGGGACAAGTGCAGGTGTGTGACAGCCTGACCTTTGTCTGATGTGGCCCGGGGAGGCGTCTTGGAGCCGAGGCCTGAACGGTGGGCGGGGGGTCAGCCAGGAGGCCGGGGAAACG